GATACCTTCCATGTATTTATAGTCTCCCATTCTGAAAGTAAAATGGATGTTGCAACTTTAAAAATGTACATAAAACCTGACCAATCATAATTCCTTATTTGCTGACATGAAAACACGACAGGGCGTACATATTTGTATGATAGATTGTATCATTAACAGCTACAAATCACGTGTATATTGTTCTTGTAATCTACGACTCAAATGTATCCTTACGAACATTTAACTCTTATCATATGAACATGTTAATCACATTTTCATGCCATAAAAATAATCAGTTGTCTAACATGTTTAGTGATTAGGTTAAATAAGAGATAGAAAATTCGATATCTCACCTTAGTGCAGCGCCATTTGTCACAGCATCCTCATCAAGATGAAGCAGAATTTCAGAACGTTCGGAAGGTTTGCCTTCACAGAAACTGTCCCATTGATTAATTCCATCAATATCATCATCTGAAAAACGAATCAGTTCAACATGATTTTACGATGCTGAAGTAGTTAAAATTCAAGGAGCTGTTTCTTGTTGCAGATTGTTGATAATATATAAATAAAATAGGAAAGGTATAAACCATGCAGTTTTATTTTATTGAATATTATTTATATGCCAATCATAAACAAAAACATGTTCATATTTATTCAGTACTAATATTATAGATTCGATCTCATACAATTTATAGGGAAATCCAAACCAAACACCAAACAGTAAACAATTGACTGCGTTCCACCTTTATAATTTGTTGTCGACATACGTTGTTTTTCAGTATGTCGTATGGAGAAATTTTACAATGACAGTGCAGTTGTTTTCATTACTTCCATGCACGAGAGGCTTGCTTGTAGAAAAGCTGAATTAGAACAACCACTAGTAGTTTGAAAAACATCTTTTTTATCTACTCTCCTTGTATGACGAAGATTGCCATTTTCGACAGGGATAACAAAAATGAAATAAGCCAGCGTATTACGAACAAACCGGAAGAAGTATATGTGATTTGTCTGCTTGTTTTATGACATTGAAAATACACATAACCTTAAATAAACAATTTCTATGTGATTCATTGCCGTGGACGAACGAGTGCATTAATCACCAATACGTTTTCGGGTACGGACCTTTGATAAGAGTTGCTGAATATCGATTTCCCGTGATCATTTTTACTAAATGAAATCCAGCAACTCGTGGCACAAAAAATACGAGATCAACTAAATAAGAACAAAGTAGCAAAACCTAAACCACTGAATATCAACTGAAGGCGTTCCAGTACATTTCTCGTGTTGTTAATGTTCAAAACTAAATGTTATCATGCGTGGTCTTCAATACTACCAATTTTAAATTAAATTTTATCAGTGTACATGGGCCATCGATAGTGTACAGCAGTTAACTGATATTTCCACTAGAAACACCAGGCCTTACTCCAAGTTGTAGTATACCCACCTGGTGTACCTCCAGCAACGGTTAGTAATGTTGCGAAAATATCAGTGAAATGGTACAACCTAAAATGATAAAATCGATTAATCGCCTTTAAATATTACTAATACTTGTTATGGGAAAACATAGACGTGTGGTGAATATCAATGAAGTGAAAGTCGCCGGTAAATGTACTTGTTCAGGGATTCGTCTTACAGGAATCTAACATATTGTGCATATTTGTATTACATTATAGTACATTCCATAGGTTACACACACACTTGTTATCAAAGTTATTTAAAAACTAGAGTGTTGTACCTCCGTCTTGATTGCACCATAATCAATAGGTTATTGAAATCAATCCCATCGGCACTATCGGGCATAACAAATGCGTTCTATTTTTGAAAAATGTAAATCTTGATAATTTTCCCATGATATAGTACTAGGACCAGACTAAACATTTCATTTCAGAAAACATTCGTTATAGCTGTAGCTGAATGCTGTAGCAATTGACATGAATGTAGCGTAGCAAGCAATATGGAATTGAATAGTACAACAACATTCTATTAAATAGTCTGATAGGAGAAACAATCGCATAACAAAATCCAGGTTCATGACCTCAAAATATATATTCATTACATCATAGCACATGTAAAAATGGAACAGGGGACTAGGATTAAATGTAAAGTATTTCAAGATAAGTGAATTATGTAATATGAATTATGCATCAGCTTC